CCCCCCCCCCCGCGGGGGGGGGGCGCATGCCCGCCAAAAAAAAAAACGGGGGGGGGGAGCCTTTTTTTGCCAAAACACGAGGGCTGGGGCGCGCAGCGCGCGTGCGAGGAGAGCTCAACAGAGGGTAGGGTGGGGAAGACGGCGAGGAGGGGGCGGCGGCGGCGGCGGCGGCGGCAGCGCGCGCGCGGCGCGCGCGACGGGGGGGCGGAGCAGCGACCGCTGGCGCGGCCGCTGCTCCGTCTGTGCCAGGGACGCGCGCTCTGCGCCGCTGCAGAGCGCGCGCGTCAGGGCAAGGGGCATGCGTGGCGGCGCGGGACGCGCGGCGGCGGCGGCGAGCAGCCTCCGTGAGCGGTGAGGCGGCCGGGCGAGGGCGCGGCGGGTGACGGGTCAAGGGAGCAGCCCACACCCGGCGTCGCTTTTTGAGCGACGCTGTGGCACGCCTGCGCAGGGGCCGCAGGGCGGTCAGTTGTGGGGCGAGGCGGTGCCGGCCGCGGGCCGGGTGCAAGGCGCCGGCCTCGGCGCCGCCTCGGCGCGCCGCACGGGCCGCGGCGGGTGACGGGTCAAGGGAGCAGCCCACACCCGGCGTCGCTTTTTGAGCGACGCTGTGGTACGCCTGCGCAGGGGCCGCAGGGCGGTCAGTTGTGGGGCGAGGCGGTGCCGGCCGCGGGCCGGGTGCAAGGCGCCGGCCTCGGCGCCGCCTCGGCGCGCAGCACGGGCGCGGCGAGCCTCTGAGCGGGAGCCGAAGGTTTGCCTGTGGGAGGGAGGGAGGGAGGGAGGTGGGGGTGATTTGACTTTGCGGCAGAGGCCGTCCCTGCTGTGAACAGCAAAACGGGACAGTATTTTGGCGGCAAACCAGCCTCAGACTCGGCTCAGAGCTCGAAAAAATGATGATTCCACGGAGTTTCGTATATTTTACCATACCACTCTCTGCTCAATACCATACCACTCCCCAGGAGAATCACCACTCATTTACCAGTAAATAAACAAACGTGGAAAATGCGGCAAGCAAGCACTGCTGACCGTTCGTTGTGTGTCTTGTCACTTGTGATGTCGCGCGAAATAAAAAAACGGTCAAACTCCCAGAGTCCGGTGCCAGAGACGAGATGTGAGAGAGATGTGATGTCACGCGGAGAGATTAAGAGCAGATTAAATTTAATCCCGACACATCTATGTGCTATGACAGAGGGAAGGTTGGGAAGAGGCACGAGGAGGGCGGCGACCTCGACCGACTATGGAGGACCCGTCGCCAGACGACGCAGGGCAGAAGACGGTGAGGCGGAGCAGACGCGCAGGGCGAGACGAGGGAGGGAGCAGGACTTTGCGGAGATCAGCCGGAGGATGTACGAAGAGATTAGGAGCAGCAGGGACCCGAGGGACCATGTGGAAGACGGCTAGTGCTAGTCCCCCATCGGGAGGACGACCCCGGCTAGTCGCCGACCACACCCACAAAGAACCCTGCACAAAGATCGCAAGGGCGGGGACCTGTTCCTTTTTACCCATCTCACAGTAGAGAGGTGTCCGTTTTATGGGTGCTCGTCAGCGCCGGCCGATCCGGTGGAGCCACGACTCAGCCCTGCGCTGAGACGCGGCCGCGCTCGCCGGAGCGGTGGGGGCGGTGGGAGAGGGGGCAGCCGAGGAGGCGAGAGCTGAGGAGGTGGAAGGGGTTGCAGCCAGAGCACGAGGGGTGGCGCCGTCGCCCTCGTCGTCGAACTCGCACTGCCCGCGAGGCAAGCTCCTGCCGCTGATCGACGTGTCTGGGTCGATGATGGGGACTCCAATGGAGGCGGCCCGGTGGTGGCCGCCCGCCTCGGCCTGCTGGTGGCCCGCCTTCCGCAACCGCGCCGACACCTTCGAGTCGAGCCAGTCGGCTGCGGCGCGCGGCGCCTGCGCGCCCGCGGCCGCCCTGTCGTGGTCCGGCGAGGCCGCCAGGTCGAGGATGGACCTTGGCGAGGTGAGGCTCGACTCGTCCTCGCTGCTCCGGCCGTATGGCGAGAGGGAGAGGCGCAGCAGGCCGCCGAACGACTTGCCGAACGACTTGCCGCCGGCCGCGGGGGTCCGCGGCGGCGCGGGGTCGTCTCCCAGCCTTTGTGCGAGGGTGCGGAACCAGCGGCTCGCCTGAGAAGGGAGGGGAGGGGAGGGGGGGTGGGGGGAGGAGCCTACCCAGTAGTAGGCAGCCTTCATTCCAAAGATCTGGCCCGAGGCTACACACAAGCACACAGGGCTCGCGGCGTGGCGCGCACACGCACCTGCACGTCCGCCATCGTGAGGCGCGTGGACGGGTCGACGAGCAGCATCCCGTCGAGGAGAGCCTGAGCGGCGGACATACCTTCTTTGTTCGTCTCTCGCAGAGACCCGCGGAGCCGAGAGGGCTAGAGAGGTGGCCTCTCGGGCACTCTCGGGTAACCTCGGGTAATCTCGGGCAATCTCGCGCCGTCAGAGCCGGCGAGAGCTTGTCCTCGCGGCGGTACAGGCAAAGGATGGACTCGACGGATGAGCGGTTCTCCAGCTGCGCGCGCTTGAGCGCCTCGAAGCGCGGGTCCTTGTCGCTGGCCTGCGCCGCGGGGTGGAGAGAGGCCGGATGGGCGGATCTGTGTGGTCTCTCGGCACACCAGCTCGGCACCCGCTCGGTCTCGGGCTGGGGCGACTCTCGGGTGATCTCGGGCCGATCTCGTCCTCCTCGCTCGCCTCTTCCAGAGGGAAGATGCCGAGCACGAGGGCGAAGATGCACACGCCGAGCGACCAGACGTCGGCCTGCTTGCCGTCGTACCTGCGGGACATGTCGTGGGCGTGTCGTATGCACATGTCTGTGGGAGAAGGGCCCGCCCGCCTCTGCCGCCGTGCCTCCGCTCGCGGCTCGCGGAGATCACCTGGGAGGGGCGAGAGGCGGCGCCGGCGGCGAGGGTGAGAGGCGGCCGGCGGCGAGGGACGGTGAGAGGTGAGGGACCAGCGGAGGCCGCGAGGGCGACTGCCACACGGCGACATCGCGCGCCGCGCGGGCGAGGGCGGGCGAGGGCGGGCGGGCGAGGGGGGGGAGGCGGCTGCGAGGGCGAGGGGGCGCGCGGCGGCGAGGGCGAGGGGCGCGGTGTGAGGGTGAGAGGTAGAGGTAAGGCGGAGAGGAGGGGAAGGGGGGCGTGAGAGTGGTCGGTGCGCGGGAGTGCGGCGCCTCGGGTGCGGCGTACGAGCTCGTGCCGCAGACGCGCGAGCACGTGAGCGAGAGGGGGGCACGCCCTCGCCCGAGGCCTACGGCAAGGTGCTGAGGTGAGGTGATGCACAACCCCAAACACTTCTCTCTCTCTCTCCCCGCACACACAGAGAGGGGGGGGGGGGGAGCGAAGCCTGGCTCGAGGGCGGGGCCGAGGCAGCCCTGAGCGGCAGCCGCGGGAGGGTCGAAGTGCGCGTTGTCGTAGTCGATGATCTTGACGTGCGAGCCGCCCGCCTCGGTGAGGAGAAGGTTCTCGAGCTTGAGGTCGCGGTGCGCCAAGCCGCGCGAGTGCATGTGGAGCACGCCGGAGACCACGCCCGCGAGAAGCACCTAGCAGCAGCGGGCAACCTTCAGTCCAAGATCTGACCCCTCTTTCTCCACCCCCAAGCGAGAAGCTCCTTTGCGCGCTCCTCGGGCACCCGCCCGACTCGCTCCACCAGGCCGAGCAGCTCCCCTCCGCCCACCGCCTCGGTCACGATGATGTCGTACCCGCTCGCTGTCCTGCAGGAGTCGACGAGACGAGCAATGTTGGGGTGGCGGCCCACGCGCTCCAGCGCCGCCACCTGCGAGGGCCGAGGAGGCGGCCTTGATGCTGGCGCCGGAACGGCGAGAGAGCCAAAAGGGGCGAGAGATGAGGTACCTCCGGGTCGATCGCGTCGTCGCCAGCCTTGTGACGGACAATCTTGACCGCCACTTCGAGCCCGTCAAGGCGGCTGATCGCGTGAAAGACAGGGCCGTTGCGGCCAATTCCAAGCGTTCGGCCGGAGAGGACGTAAGGCCCGACTCTCCGAAGCCGCGGCTTCTTACGGCCCGCCGCGCTGGCGGCGCTTGCCCGGCCCGCCTCGTGTGTCGTCGCGGCACTCGCTGTGTCGCTCGAGGTCGCCATCAAAACGGCGGTCGCCAGCCGGCTTTCGTGTCCTTGACGTGATCACCAAGTCCATGAACGACCTGGTCGCGCCACGGCGTCTGTGTAATCACTCGAGATTTCTGTCTTTTTATTGTCCTCTTTTGTTCTGAGATGACTCGAGGTTCTCGAGGTGGATATCCTTTGGCCGCGTTGGGTAGCCCTGGGAGGGGCGGGGCAAGCAATATTGGCTGAGTGCCAGCGCGACCAATTACTGCGATCAATCGGCAGGCGGCGGCGGTGGCGGGCGCCAGTGCATGTTGCCCCAGTCAAAGACCGTGAGAGAGAGAGAGAGAGAGAGAGAGAGAGAGAGAGAGAGAGAAACCGCCAATGGCCGTTATCCGTTAGTGCGGACGTCGCCGCGGCTCGCCTCTGCCGCGGCGGCTGCTGCGCGCACGCGGCGGCGCCGCTCTCTCGCGAGACGGCTGGCGACGCGGCTCGCCGCCGACGTACGGTGCGCTCGTCCGACGGTCCGCAGCGTGGCATGCGCGGCGCTGCGCACCGCTCTGCGAGCGCTTCTGCGCCTGCACTGCCTCTCCCTGTTGCTGCTGTTGGTGGTGATGGTGCTGCTGCTGTGCATATGCTGCTGCTGGCGCGGCGCGGCTCTGCAACTGGGCTCGACGCGCGCGTCGCAAGCATCTGACGAGGCGGGCGGCGTCGGGCAGGTGCGCTTCTCTCTTTGGTGGTGGTGGTGGTGCTGCTGCTGCTGCTGGTGGTGCAGATGCTGCTGATGGTGCGGTGCGGCTCTCCGACTCGACTCGGTGCGCGCGTCGCGGCGATCTGACGCGGCGGGCGGCGTTGCGGGCGGCAGCGATCGCGGCTCGACGGTGGAGGCGGAGGCTGGTGGCTGTGGTGGACTTTGAGTCTATTTCATGGTCGAGTACGGGGACCGGGGGGTCAACCGGGAGGCAGGGGGTTCAACCAGGCGACGGCGGAACGTGGGCCATCGCGGGGACTGCTGCGTACGGAGGGCGCAGCAGGCAGATCCGGATGGTCTCACGCCGGTGGGTGGCACCGAGGCGTCTTGGACGCTCAGCTCTACCTTAAGCTCCTGAGGGGCGCGTGGTTCTAACCACGTAGTATGACTACAGCCCACCACAGACACCCTCCCCCACTCCTCACGTGTGTTCACACCCTCACCCTCTCCTCTCTCCTCTCTCTCTCTCTCTCTCTCCTCTCTCTCCTCTTGTCTGTGCTGTCTGCCTGACTCAGGCACTCAATCTGCCGATGCGTGATTGTGTGTGGGCTGCTCCGAGGGGGCCCTCTGTGCGATCCGACGGGTAGGGGGGCTGTGCCCGGGCGGTGTCCGGTGTGGAGTCCCCTTCTGATCCCGCCTGGGATGTTGGGTGTGAGGTTGTGGCGGCTTCGATCCCAAGGGGGGGAGCTGATCCCACTCAATAACCAACTCTCAGGGGCAGTAGGTGGGCGAGCTTCAGGCACGCTCATCTCGATCGTCAAGACGTCGCTACGCGCGGTCTTCCGCGGGGGGAGCTGCGTCGACGGGTGCGGGACCGCGGCGCAGCCAGTGCCGCGGCGAGGCCTCCGGCTGTTTGCGGCGGGCGGCTTGCTGCTCGCGGCGATGGCGAAAAACTCGTCTCGCCACACGCCAAGGGCTTATGCCCTGGCGAGACGTGAGGCGCATGCGCCCAGGAGGGGAGGGGGCATGTGTAACGACACTGCTAGAGATGCCTTTCGGGGCCCAGAGATAAAACTTCTGTGATGCCATGCGTGACCTAGTAGTGTCCCCAGCTATGGGCGTGTCCACGTTGGAGCCAGGTGTGGTGTGGGCGCGAGAATAGCTCCGCCGTTCATGGAGGCAACCGATGCGAGTCGACTGGTGTGTGTCGTCGTGGTTTCGTATCAAGACTTCTCTCTCTCTCTCTCTCTCTCTCTCTCTCTCTCTCTCTCTCTCTCTCTCGTCAAAGACCGTCTCGTAGTCTACGGCGCCCGTCGATCCCATTTTGCAAGCGCGGACAGCAGTGCAAGAGATAAACGCGTTTTTTTCGGTGCCGCGTTTTTGAAAAGAAAGAAAGAAAACAGGCAACCCAAGGGAGGGATGGGAGGACGGTACGCCGCCACCACACAGGGATTTTAGGGGAGAAGTGTGGTGTTAGCCGTCGCCCACCCTCGGGCGTCTACCACTTCCTATCTCTCTCCGCAGTTTATCACCAATTCTTGCAGCGACCTTCATGCCACCTCGCATTCTTCTCACTCTCGTCGTTCTCTCTCCTGCTGTCTCTTCCCCTGACTCATCGCTCTCCTCGGCCTCGTTCTGAGACGCCGCTGTCGTCTGCCGATCTCTTGCTCTCGCTGCTTCTCTCGCCTTTCTGCGTAACTCCGCTCTCCTCTCCGCGTATTTTGGTCCCTCGAGTTTATCGAGCATTCCTCGCGCAAGGACCACATTTCTGACTCCCACTGCGAGCATATCCCGCCCTGTCATGTCGTTGCTCAGGTCCACTCTCGTTTCGAGCACTTGTACCTCAATGGTCGGTGTTGGCACTGGGGTTCCCTTCGGGTATATTGTGACAGCTGACGGCGGGATTTCCACTTTTGTTTCGTCCTCCTCGGGGTCGTCTGCCGCGTTTTTGCCTTCATCATGACCTCGCGGTAGCAAATCTTTTTCTCTTGGCAACCCGACCACACCAGGAGCGCCCGATGTTCTCTCCAGGCAGCCAAAGCTCACCGCGCACGAGGTGCTCGGAGTCGGCCTCGACGCGAGCCATGCCGAAAAATCAAGCGTGCGTTCCGCGTGCGTTCCGCACCCTCGCGCTTCAGCACCACCCCGACAAGAAGGACGGCGATGCGGCCCTCTTCTTGAGCATCTCAGACGCGTACGAGGAGCTGTCCAGCAAGTCGAGCGGCGAGAGCCCCTCTATCCCCAACATGAGCGAGGAGCTGTGGACGGATCGGTCCGACTCGCCGCTCTGCACGGCCTGCCTCAACGGCGACCGCGTCGAGGTGAATCGGCTGCTCGCCGAGGCGCGCTCGGACCCCTTCCAGCAGGACATCGTCAACAGGCCGGGCCGGTCTGGACTGACGCCGCTCAAGTACGCCTGCGTCAACGGGCACGACGCGATTGTCGAGAAACTGCTCGAGTCCCGCTGCAGCGTGGACAGCACGAGCCGGGCGGGCGTGACGGCGCTGATGGAGGCGCGTGCGGATCATGGGGTGGGAGAATCCTATCGATTAGCCCTGAGCCTAATCTCTCTGTGGAGGCGTGCATCATGGGGAAGGAGTCGTGCGCCCGGCTGCTCCTCGACGCGGGCGCAGAGGTCGATAAGCCGAACATGACGGGGCAAGCGACCTCCAGCCCTCGCAGTCTCTGCGGGCCCGGCCCCGAGGCTCGGAGGTCTCCTCACACGTAGGCAGACCGCGCTTTCCTTCGCATGCATGGCGAGGAGCGGCAGCGAGGCGCGGTGCCGCTGGCCGCGCCGGTCCATGAAACCGCTCATCACAACATGGCCGCCGCGCTACTCAGGCGTGCTGCCGGCTGTTGGTCTCGCGCGGCGCCGTGTCCTCTCGTGCGGAGCGGGGTACAGGGTTGAAGTCTCGCTTAGTGAATGGACGGCCCCTCTAGGCGCCGGCCGCTCGCACGCGGACGCGGAGGGGCGGATCCAGTCGAGTAAACCATGAATGATCACGATAGGCGCCGACCGCTCTCGCCCCGACGGCGAGGGGAGGACGGCGGCACACTTCGCGCGCAAGGTCAAGAACGAGGCGGTGGCGGCGTGGCTGGAGAAGGGCATCGACACGCGGCGAAGCACGCCGGACTCCAGTCCGCTGTTCAGCTGGTTGTGGATTGCGGATGATAGGCGACGACGCTCTCACGCACGTGCGGGGCCGCGAGGGCGAGGGGCAGGGCGGCGAGGCGGCGGGTGGAGAGGGGAAGGGCGGCGCGGCGGCGGGTGGCGGGGCGGTGGGCGGTGCAGGGGAGCAGGGCTGCGAGGGGTGCGGCTCGCGCGACCCGAGCTTGTCTGGAGGAAGAGGCGCCTTGTCCTAGTCCGGCTGTGATGAAGCAGCGCTAATAGTGAATTGATTGAGTGCAATCACAGGCGCCTTGTCCACGAGGGCGGCCGAGTCGCGCAGCAGCGCGCCGGCGTCGAGCCGCGCCGCCCACGTGCCGAGCGCGGCGTCGAAGGGCGCCGCGTGCGGCGAGAAGCCGAAGGAGGTGTTTCTCCAGTGCGTGTGCGCGAGGTCGGTCGAGACGAGGAGGGCGACCTGTGCTCACAGATGGACGGGTTCCGAGAAGGTTCCGAGAAGGCTCAAGGAAGGGTCTCGCTCGCGACGAGGCGGGAGAGGTCGCCCGCTTGCTGGACGCCTCGAGAGGCGGCCGAGGTCGCGGCCGAGCTGGAGGAAGCCGGTCGCGACGGCAGACGAGAGGTTGTACCGCGACAGCGGGAGGCCGAGCGTGACGAGAGGCGGCAAGCGGTGGGCAGCGGAGGCGTTTGCCACGTAGCTGAGGGCGAGCACCTCGCCCCAGTGGAGCGGCATGGGCAGGACTCCGTTCCAGCCACGCTGCAGAGTCACGTTGTGCCTCGCGGAGAGGACGTCCATGATCTGCTGTGCCCGGCGTCCGTTTGGCCATCGAGCGAGACCGGGTAAAGCTTGCGAGGGCTGGCGGGGCCAAACGACTCCTGGAGGCCTCGGCCCACGGTCGCGACGCCCTGTAGCGCCGCGTTCTGATAGATTCCGACGTCCCAGCTTGTCTGAAGCCCGTGAGGTGTGTAGTGAGCACGATCGCATCGGGCGCAGCGTCGGCCAGCAGCCGGCCGGCGAGCAGCGAGCCTCGGTGAAGGCCGTCGGCGGCGGCAGAGAGGTGGGGTTGGAGAGGAGCGACGGATCATCGCCGTGAGGCAGGACCGCCGCAGCGACAAGAGGCATGACGAAGCAGGTGGCGGCGAAGCGGCGACGGTTGAGCGCGGCCACACACAACAGTCGGAGGCCAGACGTGAGCGCGCAAGCAGACCTGACTAAAAGAGTTGGCGAAGCGGCGACGGTTGAGCGCGGCCAACAACAGTCGGAGGCCAGGGCGTGAGCGCCAGCGGCCGGCCAAATTTTCTGAGCTTAGCCTTCGATGTTATGAAACAACGCAAGGCGGACATGGCATATCGCTCTCGGGCCCACAGACATCCCGCACACTCGCCGCACACCCGCCGCCCCCGCGCGCGCCCCGCCCCGGCCGGGAGAAAGGGGAGTGACAGTTTGGGACGGCAACAGAACGAGTATGTTGAGTCCTGGCTCAACAACGCAGAGAGAAATGAAAGCCGTCCGGCTCACAAGTCCGGCTCACGCGCCCCGACTGACCGATCTACCGCACTGAGCACTTGTGCCCCCCCGCTCCCAACCCATCCACCTCGCCTCGGGCCGCGCCGCGCGATCTCGGGCGATCTCGCGCGATCTCGGGCGATCTCGGAGCTCCACGCCACCTCTCCACCCCGCCCCACCTCACCCACTGCCGCGCCGCGCTATCTCGGGCGATCTCGGAGCGTCGCTCGCGCGGCGTCACACCTGCTCAAAAAGGAAGGAGGTTGGAGGCAGGAGGTCACGCCCCATCCAGAGCGCCGTCGTCGCCGGGTTTTTGGCCCCCGGGTCGTCGCCCGACGGTTGCTGCGCGGGGCAGCAGACCGTCGGACGGCGCGACGACGCCCCGTCCGGCACGCTCCCCCCTCCACCCGGCTATTGCCGCACGAGCGCCCTCAGCGGCGGAATTTTTCCCTCGCGCTTCCTTGGGCCCCCGGCAACGCCGACGGACTTCCCGTCCCCCCACCTGCGCCGCAATCACCGCCGTGATTGTCGGCGCCGCGCCCCTTGGCGCCTGTGCATGTCCCGCGTGCCCGCCCGCCAAGGCTGGTGCCAAGGCCAACTCAACTGCCAAGGCTGGTGCCAGGGCCAAATCAACTGCCTGGCTGGTGCCAAGGCTCAAAGGCTCTCCTCTCTCTCTCCTCCCTCTCTCCCTCCCTCCCTCCCTCACCCCCCCCCCTCTCTTCTCTGGTCTCCCCCTCCTCCTCTCTCCTCTTCTCATCCTCTCCCCTCTCCTCCTCTCCTCTCTCCCCCCCTCTCCCCCAGCAGCTTCCTCGAGGCCGAACAGGTAGATCCTCCCTGATCGCTAAGCTACCACAGGGGACGGCCAGGTAGTAGACGTCGTCCGCCGCCGCCTCCGCCGCCCGCGTGCCTCCGCCCCGCTCAGCAAAAAATCAGCATTATATCAGGAGGTGCCAAAGCCGCAGCATCTCCATGAGGTGAGCGTCGTGCGTTTTGCCGCCGCGTGCCGCCGCTGCGCCGACTGGCTCCCGGTTCGAATCGTCCTTCGCGGAGCGAACGCGGCGACACGAGCGCACGTCGCGCGCGTGTGCGCCTGCGACAAGACGAGACGAGACGAGAAGAGAAGGAGAAGCAGACGGTTGATGTTTTTGCTGCCGCGGCCGCGCCGCGAGCTCGCGTCTGTTTTGGCGCCGACGACGCGACGCGCCCCGCTGCGTGAGATGGCGCCGCCGCGGAGTCGGCGCCGCGATCAACCGCGCGCCAGCGGCGAGCGGCGCAGCGCGGCCACCATGCGGCGCGACGTGCCCGCCGTTAATAGTCGTTTTTTCTTCTTGCTGAAAAAGAATTCACGCCGGCTCTCTCACCGACACAGGTTCGACACAGGTACCAAGAGGAGCACAGCAGACGGCAACTCCTCAAAAAGAATTCATCGCTTATTTCATTCCGCTTCGCCGGCTCCTGCTGCATGTCACCGCCCTCTCCGCCATCTGTCGTGCGGCCCGAAAAGCCGCCGCCATCCTTCAAGTACGTGCAGCGCCTGCGCGAGATGCGGGTCGGCGGCGGCGACAAAAATGGCGACTCCAGATGTGCCGCTGCCTACCTGCAGCCGCCTGTGATTGTTGAGGCGGGCGGCGAGCACCACTACTCTATCATCCTCCTTCACGGGCTCGGCAACCGTGGCTCCGATTTTCTGCCGATCCTCCACTCCTTCTCGCGGCTCGGGATCGACGTCTCCAACGTCCGCTTTGTCTTTCCGAATGCACCGCGCCGGACAATGCAGTGGCCAGTCTGGGGACCCTCCCGTGGCGTCCAGGCGTGGTACACTTACTTCAGCGATGAGTCCGGCAAGAGCTCGGCCGACGCCGACGAGATTGCGACCTCCGAGCTCAACGCGAGTGCTGCCGCGCTGCTCGCCCTCGCAGAGGCTGAGGCGAGGTTAGCCGAGATTCGGCGGGATTCGCCTCCCAGTTGGATTGTTCGCTGAGATTAGCGGAGATCACGCGGCGGCCACGATGACCACTCTCGAGACGCCCAGCCGCTGCGAACACAGGCCGCCGCTCTCGGCGGCGACTTTGGCAGAGTCTTTGTGGGCGGGTACTCCCAAGGGGGCACCGTTGCGGCGCACGCGGCTGTTAGCGACGGCGCGCCGCGGCTGGCCGGGGCGCTGCTTACTCGCTCGGTGCTGATGGCCCAGACGTCCCTCTCTCCTTCCTCCGGCGAGGCGGAGGAGGGCGAGCCGCACTTGTGTTGCGAGGAGTGAGCGTCGTCGCTTCACCCTTCCTGCTGTGTCTGACAGGAGCCGGAGGGACGCACGCCGTTCTTCGCCTTTCGTAGCGGGCGCGACAACACGTACCCCATCGGCGTGCAGCGCCACTCCCCTTCGCTGAGGTGTGATCGGCGCCTCTTCACACCCTCATCCCCGTGCAGGCGTGCAGCGCCACTCTCAGGAGCGGCTGGTCGCGGGCGGGTGGCCGGTCGTTGTGGCCAGATTGCTCCGCGGTACGAGCGCCCCTCTACGCCTCGCACTTGTGTGAGCAGGTGGTCGCTCGCCGTGTCCGAGTCCTCTGTCAACCACGCCACGTGGTAGAGCTCGCCCGAGCTTGATTATGGCGCCACCGCCCGCGGGCATCTTCACAGCCGCAACCGCGTGAACAGGTCGTGGGGCGAGTACGATTATGTCGCCGCGAGCGCCGCCTTCGCGCTAGGCTTGCGCGCCGACCCTCCCCCCACGGGAATCGGGCCAGGGCGCAGCTGCTGGACTGCACCCTGCCTCGACCTGCACGGCGTCCTCGTCTCGCTCTGGTACCGCTTCCCCTACCAGTGCGTGGGGCTGTCCCCTTGCTGCCGCGGCGGCGACCAGGCGCCAGCGGCGTCGCGGTGAGTAATTAACCCTTTGAGGACACGTGTTTCACGCGTGGCACAGCGCATTTCAAGTCCCCAGTGAGCCCTGGTGGAGACGCGGACGAGCGATTCAGAGGTTGCATCCACTGAGAGAAGGGCTCTCCTTTCCCTACGTACGGCTTTGGGCTTTACAAGACGTACCTCGTACGAGGACGCTCAAACATATTCTGTAAAAAAAAAAATTGTTTTAATCCAAAATACTGGGCACAGTGTTTTCCCTTACCCCCCCCCCCCCCCCCCCGTCCTCTCCGGACTAGACATGTGCGCTACATTGCCTAGGGGTGGGGTGGTGGGGCCTATTGGGGCATAATGGCTTGTTGTAGTGGATATGAGTTGTGGGCGTGTCTCGCTGGCTTTCGCCAGCCTTTGCAGGCATCCTAAGTTCGGCGTCTCAGCCTCCTCTGCGCCAGGGATCGCGCGGGGCGCAGCACGCCCTGTGTCGTCTGCGCGAGATCCTAGTCCCTGGTTCACCGAGGCGCCCCCTACAGGGAGTCAGCTCAGCCGCGTTCCTTGTAGTGTGATGCCTTTAAGTCTTTAGGTGTTTGTTGTGCTAGCTTGTGAGGCCTTGACAAACTTGATCTCTCGTGCGTGAGTCGTCGCCTCTTCTGTGGTGAGGTGGTCGAGTCCCACTCTCCTTAGTTCTTCATTCACTCGCCTGCTCAGTCGTAGTCTGCCGTAGTAATCAATCGTCCCCATGGGTTCTACTTTGTCGCTTATTTCTTTCATGGTCGAATCGCTGACTCGGTCGCTCTTGCGTCTTATTCGTCGGAGCCTAGTTCTGGCCTCCCCCGAGTACGCTTGCATGTTCCTCACTAATAGGTTCAAGACCGCCTTCCAGGTTTGTTCGGGTTTGATGTCTTCTTCTTCGTAGAAGGAGACTATTATTTGGTTCCACATGTGTAGATGAAGTGCGTTGTGGACCTCAGGCGTGTCCGCCGAGGTTCCGATGATGGTGAGTAGTCTCGGCGGAGGTATGCTCAGTGACTCTCCTTGTGCAAAGACCGCCCGGACGACCGGGCACCCGTCGAGGTGTCTCAGCGTTTCAGAGGTTCTGTTACAGAGCCTGCACCTCGTGTGTGTTGTGGTGTCTAGTCCGTACGCCTTGAGCTGTTTCCGGAGGACCAGCCTCCTGTTGAGAATATGTCTACAATAGTTGTCGGTAATTGTAGGCGGGACCAGAGTGCTGTGTATCGCTCTTGCAGCGTTAATCCATTCTTGAGGGTGGACTATTTTGTTGCTTGTCTCCACTCTGAGGCGGAATCTTGACGAGCTGTCATGCGGTCGGTCGGGTCGCTGCACTCGTGCCCTGGAGTCTTTTCCTCCCTCTCTTATCCACCCTGGGTTCCGTAGGAAGTCCTTCTCCCAGTTTCTGAGGATCCTGGGTTGGGTCATGCCCTTTCTGCTCAGATACTTTGTGATGTCGCCGACGCTTATCTGATCGAGTGGTTTGTCGATCCCGTCGAATGTGTATGTCTCCGGGTGTGGCCAGGCCACCTCCTCGCTCTCCTTGTAGCCTTGCGCCCACTGTAGGGCTGGTAGTGGGTTGTGTCTGAGGAATTCGTCCTTACTTATTTTCGTTCCTGGGTGGACCATTCCTTTGGCGTCTTGTTCGGCTAGCCAGTATTCCTCGTACCATTGACCAGCTTTCTTTTTGAGGGTTCGCACCAAGTACTTGTGGTTGTTTTCTACTGTGTCGTCTCTGTCCAGGTAGGCGTATACTCGTATTGGTTCAAATTTTTCTTTTGGTGATGGGGATGGGCCCGTTGTTGTTTGTCGAGGCTGAGTGCCTTTGTTTGTGACTATTGGGCCGTCTCGTAGGTTCAATATTTTGACTTTGAGCTCTAGCTTGACATTAGTGGGAAAGATTCTGAGCTTGGCCGCTACTGGCGGTCTTTGTAGCATTTGCAGGCTTCGGTCGTAGCCGTGCCAGATTTCCCTTCTTAGGAGGTTGGCCTTCCTGTGCGCGGGGTTGAGCCCCCTTTTGTTGAGAATTATTCCTAGCTCGTGCCAGGCGTAGTGCACCTTCGCTCGATCTGTGGTATGCCAGTGGCCTCCTCTCAGCGGCACGATTATCTGTTCGTCTGTCGATCTGGGGTAGCGGCAATTGATGTATGGGTCGATGGAGGTGGCGAAGTACGCGGTGTCGTCTGGTGTGAAGTAGTTAGTGACTGTGAGTAATTGGGCTGTATTGAATAGGTTGTGGTATTTTGTTATGGAGGGGGGGAGGTGAAGAGTAGGGTTGTTAAATATCGGCGTGGAGCGCGCCTCGAGCGGGTTGTCAGACCCTAGATATTTGAGTCGGAGCTCTCTCATGTCTTCTATGGCTTTGACCCAGAAGGTCGGCAGCTTGGAGGGGGTGTCCCTCCGTTGTTCCCCCGGGTCGAGGCACTTGGTGAGGTCATGAGCTTTGCAGGAGGTTAGTACTGAGGATCTGCCTATTTCCGCTCTAGCGAGCCACAAGTCGAGGAGGGTTTTGTACTGGCCCCTGCTCGCATCGAGGTATCTGAGGAGTGCTTTTATTCGTATAGCCTTGACGTGTTGTTCCCAGTCGCAGAGGGCGACTCCTATGCGCGCGATGGTCGTGCGAGGCGCGCGGCCACGCAGGTGCCGCGCGCGCGTGTGCCTCGGCTCGCCCACCTCGTGCTGCCATCAGTGCCAGCAGCAGGCAAATGGGCGCTGTAGATGTTGTTGTGGTGTTGCGGCACCCGGCTGCGCTCCGCGAGCGGCTGTGCGGCCGCCCGTGGCTGCGCGCAGGCGGCGCCGCCGGTCGTCGCAGCGCGCCGGCTGCACTGGGCCGCAGCATCAGGCCGGCGCCATTGGCGCCAGCCTCTGGCGCTGTTGGCCTATGTTGCACGCCGCGGAGGGACGTACGTGCAAACTTTTTGATGCGCGCGCCGACCGCGCCTTCCGGCGGGTCGGGCGCGCTGCGAGCGAGCGCTGGTAGGCGCTGGGTGGCGCTGGGGGCGGCGAGATTCCCCGCCATTCGGGCAAATCTGTGTCTCAACGCTGCTGCGAAAAGAAATTAAAAAAACATATTCTGTAAATCTAAATCACAAAATAGGTAAATACTAAAAAGACTTGAGAGCTTACCAGGGTTGGACAAAAAGAATTCAACGAGGTCGTGGCAAAAAAGAAGGGACTATTAGTAGAGGTGTCCGTTTTATTTATTTAAAGAAGGGACTATTTAGTATTTTCGTGTTCTCATGGCCTCCCTCGCTCGAACCCCATCCCGGTCAGGGTGGCCTGAGGCGCGGCGCTCAACCGTCGCCGCTTCGCCGCCTCCTGCTGCGCCCTGCTCTCCACTCCCTGCGTGCCTCGCCGCCGCGCGTCCTCGATCGGCCTCCTGGTCTCGCAGAGGCCGCAGACTGGCGCGAGTGGTGGGTTGAGGAGCGTGCACGCGGGGCACGCCCACGCCGCCTCTGCCTGCGCCGCTGCCGCCGACGGCGTGGCGGTGCCGTTCGACGCCGTCGCTGCCACTGCCGCTCCCTGCGGCGCTCCCGCCGCGAGCTGCGGCGGCCGCTGCTGCGGCTGCGGCACAGGGAGAGGCGGCGCGGCCTGCACGCCGGGTGCTGGAGCGGCAAAGGAGAGGAGGGAGCCCGCCCGCCGCATCAGCTCGTGCATGCTGCGGCCGGTGGCGAGGGTCGCGTCGCCGTGCACCATGTACTTGTAGTACGCCTGCTGCCCGCGCTCCGCGTCGGCCGTGCCGGGGAGGATGTACCGGAAGTTGATGTTGACCCTCGGCCGGCGCGAGGCCGCCTTTGGGACGCGGTGGTGCCAGTGCCTAAGGGGAGATATGGGGAGATGTGGGGAGATATGGGGAGATATGGGGGGACGCGGTGGTGCCAGTGCCTCTGCGTGGGGCTGTGCATGACGAGCAGGTCTCCGTCGGCGAGGAGGAGGTCGCGCTGCGGGGTGGACCGGTCCACTCCGTCGTCGCCGCCGCCGAGCGCCGGCCACACGTTGCGCATTCGCCGCAGCTGGAAGGAGGCGGTCGCGCCGAGCGAGAGGGAGCCGATCGTGGGCCGCTCGCCGAGGAAGGTGCGCCCGTCCGTGTGCCATGCGATCTCGTCCGCCCCGTCCATGTAGAGCCGGAGGAGGATCGCGTTGAACGGCACCCCCAGCGAGGCGCGCACCTGCTCGACGAGCGGCAGCAGCCAGTCGGGGATGGGAACGAACGGCTCGAACGCATCAAAGCCACCGAAGAAGGCGGTGTAGCATGGCGTCTCGCACTGCTTCTGGAAGCGTCCCGACAAGTACGTGACGCGGTGCCACAGCACCCTCTCGGCCAGCGTGCTCCACCAGGACCTGCGGCTCTCGGCGTCGAGGTAGCCGCGACAGAGCTTCACGTGCAAGCCCTTGGCGGCGTCCTCGATGCGCAGCCAGTCGCGTGGGGTCTGCGACGGCGCGGCTGCGGCGGCGGCGGCGGCAGCGCGGCAGCGGCGGTTTATTTGCATAGACAGATGTGTACGTATACTGTAGTTGCAGAGCGCCCCATACCGCCAGCTTGCCGCCACCCGGTCCCCTCGGCACGACTAACATGCTAACATCATCTATGCGATCACAGCCGTCATGGCACGTCGAGTACGGAGTAGTGGAGCCATTTCATACTGTATTAGTAGGCGCCCTGCGTGACGGCGCGGCAGCCGTTGTCGTCGGAGCAAGGGAAGATCACAAAGCCGCAAATAACCCCCTTCGGGCCTCCGCTGGCCGACTCGTCCACCTGGCGGCACTCGGTCGTCTTGTACGGCTTGAACGTGTCCTGCAGGAACTTGTCTCGCCTCAAGCGGAGTTTCTTGTACGCGCCCTCGTTGGAGAGGTACCAGCCCTGCAGCTCGTCTGGTGCCTCCGCCCACTGCCACCCGTCGAGCCTGCGCACCTCGGTGGCGATCGGCTTGACCAGGTCGCCAAACTGCTCCTTGCCCGTCCGGAAGAGGCCCGACTGCTGCAGCAGCGTCCGCCCACGCTCTGCGGCGCTCTGCTCCGCCACGTCGGAAGCCCATATCACCGCCGGGCCGGGAACACGGCCGTCCTTCGTCTCGCCAAACTGGCCCTCCTCGGCGGTGGCCGTCGGGTCGTGCTCCCGCCAAAACACGCCCAACAGCTTCTTGAACGGCAGCTTCTGCGGAACGTACTCGACCTTTAGCGCAGGGACCGCCTCGCCGTCGCGCGCCAGGCTCCCCGCGGTCGTCTTCACGACGCCCAGGTACTTGATGGCGTCGATTGCGGGCTGAAGCAGGCGTGTGTCGCCCGCGGACAGGTACGCAACCGCCAGAGGCGCGTCCTCGGCAGCGGCGGGACTGCTCCTGAGCATGGCGGCGGCGGCGAGGGCAGCGAGGTCGCGTCGTTCGAACTGAAACTGCCGCGAGAGCTGCTGCTTCGGTGGTGCCAGCGGCGGCGTAATGAGCGAGGCGAGCACTGCGAGCGGGGCGAGAACCGCCGCAGGCATCGTGGCGTCGCGGCAGATCGCACACGCCGCTGAGGTTTTTGCTCGGGGGGTTGCGCCTTAGAGGGGGCCTCGGGGGGGGGGGTCGCACGGGGTCGCACGGACGTGGTGCGACCCCTGCCGACCCTTCTGCCATGAGTGCCAGCCATTAGCACGGGTACGCACCCAACGTCAACCCCGCCCAGCAGGCCTTCGAGTGCGCCGTTTGCAAGCAGCAGTCATAAGCCGGCCGGCACACCCTGCGTCGGTCGGCCACTGCAACCGAGCGCCAATGCAGACGGGACTCCAGTCTGGGACCGTACCTGTGCTGGAGATTGCACCGCACGCTACATATCGCCCACTCCCTTTGTTCTCTTCTCATAAAATCGGAGGGTCGGCCCACTCCTCTTGCGGTTTGTTCCCTTTGTTCTCTTCTCATAAAATCGGAGGGTCGGCCCACGGGGGGACTGTGTGAACTGAAGCGACCCAACGATTTTATGAGTGGCAGCAAAGGGAGTGTGACAGACCCAGCCTCCCGGAGACCGGGGATGGGCGCCGGTCAGGACCATACCCCCCCACCCTTTGGGCCGCGAGGGTACCATACCATACCCCGGAAAAAGTTGGATCTTGGAACCCGCTGAGTTTTTTCCTGGTCTCGCGGCGCGCCCAGTTCGGTGCAAAATTCTTTTGCTTTGCGGCCAAGGATGACCGATGAGACATCAGACAACAAAAGATCTTTCGCCTCAGCTCCACACACCGCACGCACACGCACATAGAACATTTTTGGACATGCGAAAGTACCGACCGAGACTACCGTACACGCCTCAATTCCTCAAACTAGCTATAGAGGGTACAGGACTCGCTCAGAGTGGCTCACCCGCCTGTTCTCGCTCGGCCGCCGTGGTGTATTCTTCCGGCGGCCAGCAGCGCAATCCCCTCGGAGGTGACCGTAAAGTTGCGCGGGCGCGCCGAGAAGCGCGGCGCGGCCCCGGCTCTGGCGGGCGCCATGAGCGGCTCTATGCCGATGGTGGTGGCGCCGCTGCCCTCCCAATTCTTCTTCCACTCCTGAAAGTGGAAGAATGCCAGCTGCGCGCAGCCGTTGGGCAGCGTCGTGCCGGCCGCCGGCGCGACGCGCTGCCCGTAGAACCTGCCATCGGCGACGTCAAAGGTGGTCGTGGTGGCGCGGGCGGCCTCGTCGCCGTCTTCGAGCAGCTCCGGCGCACACATGCGAAACTCGACCGGCATCCACCGGCCACACCTGCGCAAAGGTTCCGACGAGGCTCAGGCAGGGCTCCGAGGAAGCCAGTCGTGCGTTCCGCCGACCGCACCCTTCGGCGTCCATCCGGAGAGGTCTCCGCTCGCCGACCGGCAAATGCGGCCCCGGCAAAGAGAGCTGGCAGCCGCCCGCGGAGGAGTGACGCGCCTAGCCGGGCAACCGCCGATGCCCCTGAGGGAGGGACCAACTCGCTGGCCGCCGCACGCAGAGGAGCGGCGCGCGAGCTCGTCAGGGTCGACGCGCGTCTCGGCGGCGCAGCGCCACACCGCGCCGTCCACCGCGTAGATGGCGGCCTCCGGCTCGCCGGACGCGGTCAGGCCGACCGCCTGCTTGTGCACCATAGCGATGCGCAAGTCGCCCCGCGAGACGGCCTGCTGACAGCTCGAGGCGGTGAGGAGACGCCGTCTCACATCCCGAGCTGTGAACAGACGCCGTCCACGCCCCGGGGCGGGAGAGACATGCCTGGTGCGAGTAGCTCCTCTCGGCTCCTCTCGGCTCCTCTCGGCGCCTCTCGGCGCCTCTCGGCGCCTCTCGGCTCCTCTCGGCTCCTCTCGGCTCCTCTCGGGCCTGGTGCGAGTAGCATCCCTCCGCGCTCTGGAAGCGCTTCGGGTAGTTTGCGATCCCCCGCGACTCCATGCGCCGGACCCACGCCACCTTGAGGAGCAGCTCCTTCTGCAGCTGGCCCGCGATGTGGTCGCACCGCTGCCACACGGAGCTCACTCGCGGCTCGTTCCGGTGTACCGTCCACTGGCCGCGCAAGTACAGCGCCTCCTGGTCGCCAAACGAGTAGGTGACGATGTCGTGCTGCTCGAGCTCCGCTCTCGACACGAAGAGCGGCAAGTTGCCGACCACCATGTCGAGGTCGCAGTACCTGCCCGCCAAGGAGCGTCGCATCAGAGCCGGCGCACGGCAAGCTCCCAACCGCGCATGTCGCGGTCGCGTACCCCCAGTGGCTGTAGCCGTTGAGGTACTTGCTGAAGACGGCGCCTGGGGGGAGGGGCCGAGAGGGCTCGCGGGAGGAGCTCCGAGGGGCATCGGCGGCGAGCTGCGCGAAGGAGTGCGCCGAAGGTCGGCTTGTACTCGGCGACCAGCCGCGGCCACTTGTCAAACATGAAGCGAAGCGCCTTGAGCGCGACGGTCGCGAGGTTGGGCGAGGTCGGGCGAGGTTGGGCGAGATTGGCCGAGGTCGGCCGAGGTCGGCCGAGGTTGGGCGAGGTTGGGCGAGGTCGGGCGAGGTCGGCCGAGGTTGGGCGAGGTCGGCCGAGGTTGGGCGAGGTCGGGCGAGGTCGGCCGAGGTTGGGCGAGGTTGGCCGAGGTTGGGCGAGGTTGGCCGAGGTCGGGCGAGGTTGGGCGAGGTTGGCCGAGGTCGGGCGAGGTCGGGCGAGGTCGGGCGAGGTTGGCCGAGGTCGGCCGAGGTCGGGCGAGGTTGGGCGAGATTGGCCGAGGTCGGCCGAGGTCGGCCGAGGTTGGGCGAGGTTGGGCGAGGTCGGGCGAGGTCGGCCGAGGTTGGGCGAGGTCGGCCGAGGTTGGGCGAGGTCGGGCGAGGTCGGCCGAGGTTGGGCGAGGTTGGCCGAGGTTGGGCGAGGTTGGCCGAGGTCGGGCGAGGTTGGGCGAGGTTGGCCGAGGTCGGGCGAGGTCGGGCGAGGTCGGGCGAGGTTGGCCGAGGTCGGGCGAGGTCGGGCGAGGTCGGCCGAGGTTGGCCGAGGTCGGGCGAGGTCGGGCGAGGTTGGGCGAGGTCGGGCGAGGTCGGGCGAGGTCGGGCGAGGTTGGGCGAGGTCGGCCGAGGTTGGGCGAGGTCGGCCGAGGTTGGGCGAGGTCGGGCGAGGTTGGGCGAGGTCGGGCGAGGTCGGCCGAGGTCGGCCGAGGTCGGGCGAGGTCGGCCGAGGTCGGCCGAGGTTGGCCGAGGTCGGCCGAGGTTGGGCGAGGTCGGGCGAGGTCGGGCGAGGTTGGCCGAGGTCGGCCGAGGTTGGGCGAGGTCGGGCGAGGTTGGGCGAGGTCGGCCGAGGTCGGGCGAGGTTGAGCGAGGCTAGCCTTGATCACGACTGTGGCGTTGCGGATTGGCAAGTTGAGCGCCTCCCCCAGCTGCATGCCGAGCAGCATCGAGAGGCCGCCCGGGCCCAAGTCGAACCACTTGACGTTGGGAGGCACGTCAGCCGGCACCGCCAGGTCCTGGGAAGGCGGGAGGGAGGTGGCAAGAGGGGGGAGGTGAGGGAGCGAGTGGAGGCAGAGGTCTGCAGAGGCGGCGGCGGCGGCGGCGGCGGCGGCGGCGGTGGCAGCGGTGGCGGCGGTGGCGGCGCTGACGGCGGCGGCGAACAGGCGGTGGCGGCGGCGGCGGCGGCGGCGGTGGTGGCGGTGGCGGCGGTGGGGGGGGGGGGGCGGTGGTCGTGTTGCGGTGTGCACGGTCCTGTTCCTCGTGAAAGACGAGAAAGTCGGCGAGCGGAGAGGAGAGGCGCGCCTGAGGGCCAGGGTCGGGCCAGGGTCAGGGTCAGGGTCGGGCCAGGGTCGGGCCAGGGTCGGGCCAGGTAAGGGTCAGGGTCAGGGTCAGGGTCAGGGTCAGGGTGAGGGTGAGGGTCAGGGTCAGGGTCAGGGTCAGGGTCAGGGTCAGGGCCAGGGTCGGGCCAGGGTCAGGGTCAGGGTCGGGCCAGGTAAGGGTCAGGGTCAGGGTCAGGGTCAGGGTCAGGGTCAGGGACAGGGTCAGGGTGAGGGTGAGGGTGAGGGTGAGGGTCAGGGTCAGGGTCAGGGTCAGGGTCAGGGACAGGGACAGGGTCAGGGTCAGGGTCAGGGTCAGGGTCAGGGTCAGGGTCAGGGTCAGGGTCAGGGTCAGGGTCAGGGGGGTTAGGGTCAGGGGGTTGAGGGGGTCGGGATCAGTGTTGGGATGCGGGTTGGGATGCGGGTTGGGATGCGGGTTGGGATGCGGGTTGGGATGCGGGGTGGGATGCGGGTTGGGATGCGGGTTGGGATGCGGGTTGGGATGCGGGGTGGGATGCGGGTTGGGATGCGGGGTGGGATGCGGGTTGGGATGCGGGTCTCGTTCGACAAGGCTGGCGGCGACGGAGGCGAGGCACGCCGACGCTGCGAAGTACGGCGTCCAGGGTGGCAGTTCGCCCACCTAAGAGGCGAGGGAGGCGGGGTTCGCGGCACCACCACGTCAAAACCTTCAACAGCGGCACGAGACCCAA